CTACAGTAGCAGATATCATATTAAACTTATCGCACAGCGCAATTGCAACAACTATAAATATCGCAGATTTAGTCAATCAAATAACAGCAGGAAATGCACAAGCTAGCAGTAGTTCTTCTAATGAAATTATTAGTGTTCATAGTTCTCCCCCTGTTACTGTCCATAGTTCTTCATCTGAAAGTCCAACAGAAATACCAGCACCAACTGAAGACGAAGAAGAAGAAGAAGAAAACCAACATTTCAATTTTGAAAAATTAAAATCTAAATAATATTATATATAATGGGTATTGGTCAAAGTAAAGATAATGAAAATAATAGTTTGGAAGACATTAAGAATTTAAGTATAGATGAAAAAACACGAGCAGACACTTTAATTATTAAATCTCTTCAAGAATGTGTGGCACGAATTGAGAAACTGGAGAAAGAAAAATCTGACAAATTAATATATAAACTTCCTGCTTTACAATTTTGCAATGCTTCGTTAATTTAAATTAATAATATTAACATATAATAATATTATTAATTGCTATCATAATCTGTCATTTTATCCTCTGGTATTGTTGTTGAAGTAGTACTACTTATATCATCTATTAAATCTTCTTCATCAACAAAATTATTTTGAAATCTTAATAATTCCTCGTCTGTTGGTCGTCTTTTTAACACTTTATAAAGTTTATGTATCCAAGAATTAGTATGAAAATTATAATTACCTCTACGATAAAATCCACCACATCTACATAGTTTCATTGACATATTATTATATTATATTAAATTAGAATATCTTTATTCATCATTCGTAATTTGAAACGCCTGTTCAAATCTGATATGAAACATTTTGTTAATGTCTTTAGCATTCATATTCACGTAGAAGAAACTATAAGGTGCGTCATTAACGGCTTGATGATACATATCTAATAATTGCTGTTTATCAACAATGGCGCTATTTTCTTCAATAAAACTCATTAACTCACTTGCATTTTTCAACCTAAAAATATATAATGAACTGGCATTTAAACGAATGATAGGCGCTAAAACATTATATTTTTGTGTTGAACAAATTACACTTACTGCATCGTGCCTGCCTCTTGTAAATAATCCATGTAATAATTTACTATATCTAACAAATTTAGGATCGTCTGCGTGGTCATCTATAACGATTAATATTGAATGCAGTTTCTTTATCTTTTTAGATTTCATATAATTAATTATTTTCTTCTGTCTTTCAATTACATTTTCTAAATCACTTGGATTATAATTATCAAAATATATTTGTTCTTTTTCATCATCTACGTGCAATTCATCCCTGATGTATTTTTTAACTTCTGTAAAAGTTGGGTCATTATGAACGCTGGGTGAAAATATAAATATTCTTGCAAATGAATTTCTATAAACATTTAAAATAAGATTCTGAACTAAAACTGTTTTGCCTCCCGTCGAACTCGCAACTATAATACTTCTAAATGGTAATTTTGGCACGTGCTCATATTTGGATTGTTTGAATTCATATTCAGTTATGTTTATTGGTTTTATTATTGGGACATCTGTCATAGTTGATATTAAAGAAATATAGAAAATTATATTTAAAAATTAACTTGTAATTAATATTAAATGGACGCGAGGAACGAGCCTCGCGTGCTAACGCGACCATCATTATGTTATGAGTGGCGGTGAATAACATAATGGAACAGGTTTTCCATTGCTTCAATCAATAAGCATTGAAGATAATTAGTTTTGTGTCTTGCTCGCGTGTGCAATGAAAACCCAAGTGCTGTGCCCCACCAATATTCTATTATGCATGAAATAATAAGATTAATTAGAATAATTTATCTTATTATTTAATATGGATAGAAGTTATTCAGATTATATTGATATAATAGATGAAGTAGAGAATATAGAACAAGTAATAATAACTGACAATAAAATTAAAAAAATGCTGTTATTATACATTAGAATTAATAAAATTAGGAATACAATATATCAAAAATAAAAATGTAAATATTAATATAAATGGGAAAAAAGAAAAACAAAAAGAATAAAACGGATACTACAGTTTCTTCAACAGATGAAGACAAAGAAGAAATTGTTAAAGAAACAGCACTAACCGAGTTTGAGTGTCCTATGTGTAAAAAGATGTTAGAAATGAAAAATGAAATAGAAATACAAAAGAAAGGAAATTGTAAATGTTCGTGTATTCCGACAAATTTCAAATTGAGTAAAAACGATAAGAAAATGAATATTGATAAAACCAAAGACAGTATAAATCTGGAAACGGATGTTCATAATATAACTTTTAAATGGGGGAGGCATGCGTCGCCATCCGATAATGGTGATAACGAAGCACAGGAAACTATTAAACAAATGATGAAAATTTAGTACTTAAAGAGTAGATTTTACATTAAATCAATTTTATAAATAAATAAATATTTAAATAAATAATTATATAAATAAATATATATAGAAATGTCTGAAGTTGAAAGTGATGTTATTGTTGAACTATCAAAGAAGATAATGACGGTTAGTAAAAATGTTAAACTGTTGTACGAGATGATAAAAACTATTGACCAGAAACTTGATGCAAAGGCATACGAACCAAAAAACAACAATGAAGAGAAGGAAAAGATTGATAAGATCTTTGAAAAGAAGGGGATAGGCAGACCCAGCGGTGATTATGACACGAAGCGTAAAAAATATTGTGATATGTTAAATAAGGGACAAATCAAAAGTCCAAAGGAACAAACATTAGAATACTATAAGATTATTAAGGGCGATGATGGTAAATATGTAATTGTTGAAAATTAAAATATAAACAATTCTTGTAACAAAGTATTTAAAGAAATACTAATTATATATATTAATAGAAATAATGCTATTCAATTATAACAACTGTAAAAACTGTAAAATCAATAAAAGGGATACATTCACTTTAAGACAGAAAATACCAATTGAAATTTGTTATATTATTAGTAATTATTACCCACATTGCGCCAAGTGTTCTAATATGATATCACAGGAAGAACAGTTTATTCATAGAATAAAAGCACTATATGGAGATGGTTTAAGCAAAATAGAATATCAATTACGCTGGTTTTCAAAGCACAACAACAAACCTCTCACATATGATTTTATATTGGATGATGACAGGGTATTGAAGAAAGAAATTGACAAATTATTTGACGCGGTTGATGTGAAAAAAAGCTTTACAGATAAACAGTGCCGATTAGCCATAAAATCATTTGCTAAAAAGAACTTGCTCCTCATTCATTGTGTGCTTGAAAATTTTTACAACAAACAAAATGCAAGACGAGTTCCAGATTATTGTATTGAATATTTAATGACACCATACAAATTTAGAAATAACTATTATCATCCAATAAACATACTTATGATATTTTTGAAAGGATACATTTTTGCTTTGCTTGGAGATGATATTATTTATATTGATGAAGATGATGTGAATAATTATGTTTATGAGATATTTCATTTTGAATGAACCAGACCTTGCCCATAATATGTCTACAAAATTTGTGATAAAATTTATTGTAAAATAATTTATCATAATTTTTGGAATAATATTTTTGAAAAAAATGTAAAATTATATTTTGTAAAATTATATTATTATTATTTTGTAAAATTTATTTTTTAAAATTTATTTTTTTAAAATTTATTATTTTTTTAAAAATTTATTTTTTTATTTTTTAAAATTTATTTTTTAAAATTTATTTTTTAAAATTTGTTTTTTTAAAATTTATTATTTGTTTTTTAAAAAATTTATTTTTTATTTTTTAAAATTTATTTTTTTTTAAAAAAAAAAATATTTTAAAATATGGATGAACTTACTAGGAAATTACCTGCTTTAAAATGTTGATTTTTGAAAATGTGCTTTTTGAGGTGCTGTTTTAAAATGTTGCTAAAAGTGTGGGGAGGACCCTAGGTTTTTTTTATAGAAAAAAGATGGGCAAGGTCTAGTCTAACTCCAATTCGTTTAAGGGGGGGGCCTTTCCTAATCACTCTCCAAGATTAAGTAAGAAGGGCATCAAGGTCAATTCTCTGCAAAACCAATGCTGTCTGAAATGGTGTGAAGCTTTGACCCGCTCACTTCATCAGAAATATCAGTATAAGCGGTGTCCATGGCAATCAACCAAAAGGAAAAGCAATCCAACTAACTACAAGCCATTTTTGTTACACTATCATTACGCCAATTAGTTTTTCTTTCTCAGCTATGTTCGTTGTTGAAAGGCCTTTCCTCAGCTTCATCAAAATTAGCTGGATGAGCCAGGCAAACTATCTAAACATGCGGCGCGCATCTCGGATTTCCGAGATCCTGGCATTGTTAGAAGGAAACCAAAGGGATACTGTTTAAGCAAGGACCTGTTTAAACAGGGAGTGGAGCAACCTTGCGATGCTCCCTGCAGAAAGCACAACGGTGCCATGCGTCACACCAGCTTTCTGATGTTTGCATCACGCAGTCATACGTGGTTGGTTGAACCGTCTGGGTGTTCTCAATTTTGGACCTTGGTTTGCGCCCTAAGCAGTTTGGCATGATGGCAGCGCCAAAGATGCCACATAGGAAGATGCCAGGATCGGGTGGGTTCTTTGAACAAGGAAGTCAATGTGATGTTGGATGTTGAAGGCCATCTGGATACCCACATCAAGAGACTTGGATTCTTTCCAGACGCTTTCCGCAGACGCAAGACACTTAATTAAGCCTGGTAGTCTTAAACCAGCTCCCGAGGCCCCTTCAACGGAGATCCATGGAGGTAGTTCCAGCAATATGGGGTCGTGTGCGTGTGTGTGTGTGTGTGTGTGTGTGTGTGTGTGTGTGTGTGTGTGTGTGTTTTACCGTTTTCAGGTTGCTTGCAAGTGAATCCAGCAAAACGGACCCGAACTCCCCTTTTTTTTGGGGGGGTGTCTCTAAATCTCCGTGCTGATTTTTGTGTACGGGTTCCGCGTGGTCGGATGCTCCCACCTCTCGTTACGATCCGAGACGCCGACCTCTCGAGGATCCCAAGGACCGGCTCAGCGCGCACCAGGTCTTGGAGCACCCCTGGCTCGCCAGCACGGCGCCGCATCTGCAGGTGGCAGCTCGGCTCCGACAAAGGCTCTCCGTTTGCTTAAGAATCGGCTTGATCTTCCCCTCTGGATCTTTTAAAGGGGATCTGTCACTGGGAATATGTTCTCATTTTTTCCATCGGGCTTAAGCAAATGGAAGCTGGCCTCGAATGGGTTGGTTGGGATCTGAGCCTCCCTTCCTTTTCAAGCATGGAAGCTGCTAGGGGGTTTGGTGCAGTCCTCAAAAAGTGACCAAAGAGCCAACAGGGGTGCCACTGATCAGCTGTTGCCCAGTTGCAGATTGCAAACTAAAATGACAAAAAAGAGAACTGAAACACTCACCCTGACACCTTTTGCTCCAGCCGGCCTCCGTCCCACAAAAAAGCGTGAGTTCCGCTATTCAGGTACGGTAGGCTTTTAAACCCCATACACCCCATTAGGAGGTTCAGACCTTCATTTCTACCCACAGGATTCGGTGGCCAAGTCAGGTACATAGGGTGAAACACCACGTCAACCCCATTTACCCCCCAAGAATCATGCAAGCTGTCAGAAGGCCTTCCAAAACCCTCCTACGAGAAGGGCACCTGATAGGGCGTGCCTTCGATAGGGAATTGGTAGATTGTTCTTCAAGGAACATGGCCGTGCCATTTTTGCGAGGATCCCGCCTTTGGTGTGGTTTTACAGGGACACCAAAAAGACAACGAGCATGTTTGGGGAGACCCCCTAAAAGAAGAGGAGGGTCAGGAAAGATGGTTGGGAGGCCCTAGTTGGCGGTGTAGGTCTAGTTCCGGACTTGGCAAATTCACAAATGCACAAATGCACGAAGGGAGCGCTCGTTTCTTGGTTTTGCCATAACCCTCTGAGTCATCTACGGTGAAACGGCTGAGCCAGCCTGGTCGTTTCAAGGACGCTGCCGCTTTGAAGCAGATAGATGCCCTGGAGGCTGGCGGGGGCCTGAATTGTTGGGCGAGTAAGGAATCCCGGAAAAAACGGGGTGATGCATGGGGCGTTAAATATCAGTAATTTGTTAGGTTCCCCTACTTTGTTCCATATAAGCGCTTTCAATATAGGGTGAACCTTAGTCAGCCCCTGGCTCCTAGGGGCGTTGCAGTTTTTACAACCAACGCAACAGGCTCATGAATTCAAATGGCTGGCAAGATGTCCCTGATGAGGTCGGCACAAAGTCAGGCCTCTCCGCGCAAGGTTTGCGACTTGAGGTTTGAGCCAGTCCTCAGTCTCAAATATTCGCACATGATCATTGGGCGGGCTTTTGGCTTCACGGAACTATGACCATATCCCGGCCAACGCATGGCCCGGGCAGTTCAGCAAATGTCCACTAGAAGCGGATTGCCATGCCCCAAGTTCACTGAGCTACCAGCTACCGGACCCTTGGTAATGTTTATCCAGGTTCGATACAAAATTTGTGCCGAACCATTCTGAGTGTGTGTGTGTGTGGAGGGTTGCATTTTTCTGGTACGTTCAAACGATTTAAAAGGAAAGCCAGAAAGACAGCCATCATGAATTGTTTGTTTTATTCGTGTGTTTATTCTTCATTATTTCATTGCTTCCTTCCTTCAGTTATTTAGTTATTCAGTGATTTAGTCATTCAGTCATTTAGTCATTCAGTCATTCAGTCAGTCATTAAATCATTTTATTGCATTACATGTCATTTCATGTGATGTCATGTCATTTCATGCCATGTCATGTCCTTGTGTCTTAACTCAATTTTGGTTCATGTTAGTTGATTCATGTCATTCACTTCATGCCATTCATTCATGTCATCATGCATTCCTTCATTCCTTCATTCCTTCATTCATTCGTTTGTTCGTTCGTTCATTCATTCATTAATTCATTCATTCATTCATTCATTCATTCATTCATTCATTCATTCATTCATTCATTCATTCATTCATTCATTCATTCATTCATTCCATCATTCCATCATTCCAGTCAGTCAGTCAGTCAGTCAGTCAGTCAGTCAGTCAGTCAGTCAGTCAGTCAGTCAGTCAGTCAGTCAGTCATTCAGTCAGTCAGTCAGTCATTCATTCATTCATTCCTTCGTTTGTTTGTTCGTTCATTTGTTCGTTCGTTCGTTCGTTCGTTTGTTTGTTTGTTTGTTTGTTTGTTGTTTGTTTGTTTGCTTGTTTGTTTGTTTGTTCGTTCGTTCGTTCGTTCAGTTCAGTTCGTTCAGTTCTTTGATTGTTTGTTTGTTCTCTCGTTCGTTCATCCATTCATTATTTCATTTATTCATTATTTGATTCATGCATACATTTATCCATTAGGTCATTTCGTCAATCATTCAGTCCTGCCTTCCTGCCTTCCTGCCTTCCTTCCTGCCTTGCTGCCTTCCTTTGTTCCTTCCTTCCTTCCTTCCTTCCTTCCTTCCTTCCTTCCTTCCTTCCTTCCTTCCTTCCTTCGTTCCTTCCTTTACAGTCTTTCGTTCCGTTTCATTCATTCATTCATTCATTCATTCATTCATTCATTCATTCATTCATTCATTCATTCATTCATTCATTCATTCATTCATTCATTCATTCATTCATTCATGCATTGCCGTTGCCATTGCCATTGCCATTGTCATTGTCATTGTCATTGTCATCGTTACCGTCCTCGTCATCGTCATCCTTGCAGGCGTTTCACCAGCAGAACCTTTTCCGGCACCTGGCGGCGGGTGTCCTGGCGAAGCAGCTGGACGAAACAGACCTCCACGATCTTCACAAGGCGGGGGCAGCATCGGCTTCCATCGCCCGTGCTTTCGATTGCCACTATGGCAGGCAGCCAGCCACTTTTACCTCTAGGTCTGTAAACTGATGGTTTCCATTGGCTACCTACTACAATAACTGAAAGCACTGGGATACTTTGGCCTTCTACAAAGGAAGCCATGATGTTGTTCAAACAGAATGCTCGCCGGCAAATTGAGCTAGAACCCAAAAAGTGGACCCCCCCAAAGGAGATTCCTGCACACCCCCACCCCCTCAAAAATGGAATATGAGGGGGGGGGGGGGGGTGAGGTAGGTTTTGGAATGGTTCCATTCCATTTTTTCCGGCTTGGGGGTGCGGCGTGGAATCCCGCTTTGGGGAGGTCCCAGTAAAAATTGGAAAAAACACCCGGGGGAGGTGCTTCTTCCAATTTCGTGTCAGGGGGGCTACCCCCCTTCATTTTCCGATTGCTCTTGCAGACCTGGAGAGGGGGGGGTGCCGATTGTAGCATTTTCTACAGATAAAAACACCTCCCCCCCCTCCTTTCCATTTAAAAGGGTGGGGGAATCGGGTGTAGAAAGGGGGGGGGAGGTGTATTTCCTGCATCCCGTCAAGGAAAAACCACCTCCCCCCCTCTCAGTGTTCCATTTTTGCGCGCTCGGTGCTCCATTTCAGACGGGGGAGATGCAAATTGCAGCGGTTTTTGCAGGTAGAACAACCTCCCCCTCCTTAAATTTCATTTGTGGGTGTGGAAGGGGCGCACAGTAGCCCCATCAAATTTGGTTAGGGGGAGGCAATCCCTCGTTCCAATTAATCCCCTCCCTCGGCCAGGGACAACATTGGGGGGGAACCCCCTCCCCCCGCGAGGCGGCGGTGGTTCCTGCACAGATCGGTCGAAGTTTGGGCTCCATCAAAATCTGTGGGGAGTAGTGACTTAAACATGTTCAATTGGGCTTCGCAGCAACAGGTTTGGGGTTTAAAAACCGGGACAGACCGAGGTTGGGGACCGCCGAATCGCAGTTGCCAGGCCTTCTGCGAGATCGATGCGGACGAGAACGGGGTTGTGTCCTTTGCGGAGTTCAAGGAGCCGAGTCGAGTCGAGAAATGTGCCGACAGCACATGGGTAAGGGACCATTCGCATTGGACACCTGTGCTTTAAATCAACCGAGTCGCTGTGTGCTGCTTGAACAAAATATAACAAAATGGGTATAGAAGAAAACAAATATTGGCGCCACAGTGCACAAGGCAATGCTGCTGCACACAGACAGCCCATGAAGCTCGGCTAGAATAAAAAAAAATATGCAGAGCAACGCTTCCAGCCGCTGATTTTTCATGTTCATGAAATTGCTTGGCCCAACAAACCTTGGCCTACCTCGTTTCCGACACCCCTCCGGCAACTTCGGCTCCAGCCTGCCGGGTCCAGATCGGAAAACAGCCTGCCTCACTGTGTTACATCAGCTCGCGCAGCGAACTTTCCCAGACAGAGCAGATGGAAAAGAAAAGCGCTTGCATGCGTTGGCGGCCCAAGGAAACAAGTGATCCTTATGCCAGATGGTCGTGATTCAGACCGAACCCTGGATAACAAGTAGTATTTACAGGGACTCATCAACCAGGGTTATGAACCACATGGAAACTGCGGGTCCGGACTTCCCATTTTGTGCAACGCAGCTCCTGCCTGGGGGTTGACCACCAAACTGATGCACATGACTCGGCCAAGCCACAATATCCCCATGCTTAGTTGTAGGGTATCGGGTATTGCAGATGTTTAGATCACCGTGGTCCATGGTCAAGCCATATCCCATGTTTTTGACTTGGTACCAGCTCAACATGGTCCATGATCCAGCCATATCCCGTGTTTTTTTTGGCACCGTCAGATTTTGTTCAGATTGATGGGAGCCATCAGATAGGAGGTGCTGAAAGACCACTTGGAGCGTCCAGAGTTAGAGGCCTCCAAGGTGGCTGACATCTTTCGGAGCGTGGATCTGGATGGCAAGGGGGCACCTCGGCTCACCTCTCAGCCACCGGGCCGAGACTTCGTTTCCTTTTTCCAGACACTCTCGATTTACATGGAACCTTAAGGGCCACCTTTCAGGAAACTCGAAAGGGAGTGAAGGAACGAGGAACCCTTCATTGTCTAAGCCGTTGTTTGAATCGCAAAGTGTTCCTCGACTCTTCGCGGCTGCTCAGCACCCTGTTGGTGCTACGATTTGGGTCATTCCGCCGGTGAATGACGTTTAGGGAACAGGTTGACAACTTGTCATTGCGCACTTCATCGCTTGACAAAACTGTTTGGCCATTGCTTGAAGCAGGTGATGGAAACCAGATTTGGCATCGTATGTGAATATATTAATCTGTATACCTCACCCTCAAACTACCCTTACAAAAGGCTCATTTCCCCATCCCTGATTAAGGGTAGTTTGAAGGCCCACGCAAATAGATACATATAGTATGCCCTTTTGGCTTCCGAAGGGCTCCGCAGCTGAGGTCATCGACTATACGGAGTTTGTTGCGGCCTGCCTGGACCACAAGGCGTTTGGATTATCGGTGGCTCAACACTTGGCCGCATGCTGGGTTCAGATAGGGTAAGACAAATAGGGGTATAGACCCAGCAAGCCCCATTGAACAGAGATATAGATTAATACCGCCCATTTTTAATCAATCCATTCGGCCAAGCAGATTGTGAGTGATGGGTGTGCTTGGTGGCATCTCAGCTGTGTATGTTCAAGTGCAGGTTTCCTCTTATGCCGAATTTGTTTTGCAATAGGACCAGCCTTGACCATGTTGCCCAATCTTTCCTGCTGGCTTGGCCTTGGGGTTGAACATGCTCCCTTTGCTGCGAATCCTTCTGAAGTCAGGGGAGAGTCGCTAGAGTCGGCGGACGCCGTCCACAGATCCATGGTTAGCCTAAGGCGCTGCTAGCTTGGTTGCTGCTTGACAACTTGACCTTCCATCCTTTTGGGCAAACCATGTTTCCCCGCTTGGCAAGAAAGAAAGACAACGTGTTCAGACCCACCCTCGTCGGACCCTCGTCAGACCCTCTGACATATTAACAATCTGGGATCACATGGAGAGATCACCCCAGGTTTCCCTTGACATGCGCTGTGTTTGACTGTCAGGTGGAGGAGGAGGAGGGCGTGTGCTGGGCGGCCTTCCAGGCATGGGGCTCCTGGGTCAATGTTTGGCGCCATCTCACATCTTTGCCCTTTACTAAAATGATGATGGCAGAAAGATATTCAAACCCCGGGTAGGGTTGAACATTGACCAAGCCATCGGTTAAACGGTGCCAAATCATGCAGGTGAGATGTTGCCCATGGTTATTAAAGGTACATCCTTAGGTTCATTTTTTGCCGTATTCATGTCGTTTTTGAGAGTACCCTTTTGGTCGCTTGAAAGAGAAACCAAGGGATATCCGGGGTCCAAACTCCCTACGGCGACACAGGCCAACACCTTACAAATACAAATGGATACTCATGCTTCTCTCTTGTCCAAATCCAACCTTTCGACCTTTTTGTCTTTTCCCCCTTTTGGGCCTATATTGTTCACTTTGTATTGTCCAGGGAAGTGAGGTTTGTTCGGCCAACCTTTACGGTGTTTTTTGTTCACTCCGAGACGTGACGGGCCCCGCCGGACGCCAGGTCTTCGACAAGGACTGCAACGGCGTGGTGACCTTCGAGGAGTTGGAGCAGGTGCTGAACAGCGCCTCCATGGAAGGTGCTGGCTGCCAACCACTTGGGATCGGCCGGCGTTCTTTTTCTCTTCTTTTTTTCGGGCTGTTTTTTTTTTCCGGTTGTTGGGGGGGTGAAGGTTACCCCGGTTTTGTGCAAAGGCCGAGGGGCGTTTGTTTTTGTTTTTGAGGTGAAGGGTACCCCGGTGTTGGGCCTTTTGGGTGGTGTGAAAAGGGAAAGATAAGGAACAGCACCATGTTGGGGGGTGCCCTAGTTTAAGACACGTACACATGTTCAGGGGGTCTTGGAATTGCTTCTGGGGGGTAATGAGAATTGGCTTGCGGATTAGCAGCTTGTTGAGAGCTTGGAGTTATAGTGAAAATGGGGAAAGCGGAAAGGGCACAAACGTCGACGAAACATGAAAAGCACCGCAGGCCCAGTTGATTCCAGACTCTAAGTCCCTTGTTGTGTGAGGTTTGCACTCTATGGCCAACCCTTTTCCCTTATCGTTCAGTGGGACACGGAGGGAAGCATAGTGGAAAATAATTAGTTGGGGCAGTAGAGCATCTTCCAGCGGCATCTTCGGCCGAATCACATAGGTCTGACCGTGGCGGTACACCGACCTCTATGGCCCTTGAAAGGACGTCTAGTCTATGTCTAGGGACCGACCTCATCCGACCTCGCTACTTCCTCAAAATCCTTTCAGGAGATTCTTGGTCCCACAATTTTCCCCAAGCCCATCACGGGGAGCTGAGATGCTCTCCTGTTCTTGCGCAGCTGGCACAAGGGTTGGGCATCCGTTTGAATCAGGCCCTGGCCACCTTGCGGCCAAGGGCAGGTTGTTAAAACGATAGTTGCTGAAACATTTCTTTGGCGGGTTTCAACAACGGGTGTAAGAGCACAATCAGTAGGCTCTTCAACACTAGACACTGATACTGATCAAAAGGCGGTGGTTAAAACCGCTGCATCTTACGGCGTTTTTTATCGCCTTCCGTGCCAGGCACCTTCTCCCCAGAGCTGCGCAAGGAGCTCTGGTCTCAGCTCACCGCTGGGGCCGAGGACGTGGACTTCGACCACTTCCTGGCGGCGCTCCGCGGGGTGCGGCCCCCGGTGCCGACGGAAACCGCCAAGGCGATGCTGGGCGCTGGAAGCCAATTTTGGGGACGAACGGTGCTTGCCCTATATGGGCGTATCTCAAAATGGTGGACCCGTTTTGGTGTTTTTTTAGGGAAACCCAACAGAAACCAACTAGTATTAGGGGGCCGTTTAGCTTGGACCGCCTCTAAATTGCAAGTAAGCCCACTGTGCTCAAGCGCAGAACCATGGTAAATCACGGTATATTGCAGGGTTGGCTTACTTGCTGGGGGGTTCTGGGTTCCCACCTCCCTTGAAAATGGAATTGGAGGCCGGCGGTGGCCCCTGATCTCCATTTGCAGTTCCACTTTTGGCTTGCGGGCTTTCAGGAGTTGGAACCGATTGGTGGTTTCCGTGAGGGTCCAGTTCCCTCCTGCCCGAATGCAAATACCAAGCCAGCAAGTTAGGGTGGGTTTTTAACGTGTCCACTTGAACAGCTGCTTTTTAGTTAATTTGGTGGATTGGTGTTGTAGACTTTGTTTATCTGGTCTGGGAATGGGAGTGCGAGTTTAGGGGGGGTTCTTAACACCCCTGTACCAAGCCGCCGGCATGTATCATACAGGGCGTGACTCCAATCAGACTTTCCCCTGTGGATTTGGATGCAGCGACACTGCGGGCACGTACCAGAGAGGACCCTTTTGGTTTAGGGGCCACCATGGCTGTTCTACATGCAGACTGCTTGGCGGCCCGGCAGGCGTTGCCGCTGCCGAGACGTCAGCACGGCGCTGTTGGGGCTATGGGTCTTCCTATCAAAGCTAGGGGCGTGAACGAAGCCGCGCCTACCGGGCTGCCCATCAAGGCGAGGGGCGCCAACGAATCCCCGCCCACCGGGCTGCCCATCAAGGCAAGGGGAGTGAACGAAGCCGCGCCCGCTGGGCTGCCCATCAAAGCAAGGGGCGTGAACGAAGCCACGCCCGCCGGGCTGCCCATCAAAGCAAGGGGCGTGAACGAAGCCGCGCCCGCCGGGCTGCCCATCAAAGCAAGGGGCGTGAATGAAGCCGCGCCCGCCGGGCTGCCCATCAAAGCAAGGGGCGTGAATGAAGCCCCGCTGCTGCCCATTGGCAAGAAGTGAGCCGTACTATCGTAGTTTGGAAATGTGCTTTTTTGTTTTTCTTCTGGGGGTTGTCATGGTTTGCCCCTTCTAGAGGGGCAGACCGGAAACTGCCAGGCTAATCATCTTCTTCAGCGGACGAATCCAAAATTCGTCCCGTCTCACAAGTAGTGGCTGTCTCAAAGCAGTTTGCAGTGTCTCGACCCAGTCGCGCGCAAGTTGAAACTGTTTCTGCTCTCGCATGCTGTGCCAAAGGCTGGGGCCTCATCCCTACCTTGAAGATATAATTTGGGGGGAGAGGGGAACACGGTGACCCGAAATTTCAACCTCCATACGGGGAAGCTACGAGGAAATTCGGCGCCTCGGGGGGTGCCGGGCACGGGTGCGGCTCCTTGAGCTCACGTGCCAGTTGAAGCAGATCCTGAAGGAGATGAATTCCAGCACAAGGCCGTGCCCACTTCACGTGAAAACAGGATGGACTAAGGATAGTATTGCACAGCCCCAACCATAGTTGCGGACATGCGCCCTTGAGACTATTTGCATTGGTTTAGGTAGACCCTTTCAGTTCCAGGTTTTGAGTGTGGCTCGTGTTGATTTCACTCCCGTTGCAAGCATGAACTCATGCGCTGTGCGACACGCTGAACTTGAGTGTGACTTGCTTGGATGTGTTGTGCTCCAAATGCCCAACATTTTCTGCGCAGGGAAAAGCTATCAGCTCTCCATCCATACATCCCGCGGCTTTTCAGCAGAGTTGAGGTCACCTGGCAACGCCTTGCGTTGGGGAAGTCTATTGGCTTCCCAGGTTTGGCCAAGCCGGATGAACCACTCCCGTTGTGGGTCACAAGAGGGGATCAATATCGTAGACCGCTTTGATGGGCAACAAGACTCCCTGCAGTTTAGCGGGGGACAGACGTTCCAACTTGAACCCCCCACTGCTGATTGAGATGTTGATTTGTAGAGTTTCTGCTGACTGACTTGGAGCCCCCTCCAATACATGAGGTTCTCAGATTGGACCATACCAATGGACCATGGGGTGGCGCCTGCTTTTTCCCAAGCGAGAGTCAGTTTCTTTCCCATTCAATGCGTCCTTGACGGCAAAATGCCGTGGCAAGGTATCAGCGCCCTCAGTCCCTCAAGTCGATCTAAGACATCTTGGGCCAAATGGCTTGGATGGCGAAACAAATGTGGCCATTCCTTTCGCCCTTTAGCATCTGGGCGAACTGGCTTGATTTAAAGCAACATGGCCATCCCGCCCTGACACGCAAGCGAGAGGCTCCGCCAGCAACTAAGGCAGGTTCCCAATAGGCCATCTTGGTACTGGACAACTCCGGCGCCCCAGACCACCATCACCACAACTATTACGACACACACGGGTCGGCGGCTGAGCATAACTTCTCATGCTGTGCGCGAATCCGGCGTGACACGTTCTGTGCTTTTTGTCTGCGAGGCAACAACGCCTACTACGCCCATGTCCTGAACTTCCCCCAAAACTCGAAGGGCTTTTTGAGCACCAACGCTGGCAGCTCAGCAAAGCCGCGTGGCTGCCTTGGCTCAGCGCAACTGTGCGAGGACGTGATGGTTACTACGCCTGAGCCGGACAGCGCATTCGGCAGTTACTGGACTTCAGTTCAGAAGTTTCCTCAACCAGAGGCAGGGGAAGTTGCAAAGAGTCACTGAAAGAACGTGGAAGAGCAAAGCCGTAAACAATGAGTTGAAGATTGACGAATCAACTCTGGCGCAATGCTTTGCCGGCCCTATATCCTTCGGGCTATTTACGAGTTCACATTAATCTAGGCCAATGGGAGTGACGGGAGCCTTGGCCAAGCCTTCCTCACCTTTCGAAGGGGTCGCTCCACGCCAGGCTCCGGAGAAGCCGACCGGGCATGCTTACACCATATCTGTTTGCATTCGTTGTTTGTTTTCCTTTTTCTGGGTACTTTGGGCCCGTGGGTAGTACCCCAAACTTGTTTGGTAAGCCGAAGCCCTTTTTTTGGGGGGGAGGGGGGGGGGGATTGGCACGAACATGCACCTCGATTGGGGGCACTTCGATGATGCGTTGAAGGGGCCCGTGAAGTTGTCTAAATGTTTAGGCCCTGGTGACCTGAAAAAACTGGAGAGACATGAGGTAGTAGGTTTGGCTTTGGGGGGCCTTTGGTTCTTGCATGTGCATCCTGCGGGTCTCTGCCAATAGCCAGGCCCCATGGCTTTTTCGACATGGACTGGCTCGCGCCTGTGGAGAGAACTGCCCGTTTTGTCAAAAAAAATGGGGCCACTGGTGACTGGCTTCCGTCGATTCATGTCCAGTGCTTGGGATCCTGTAGTTGGAATAGATGAAATGAGCAAACTGGGGTCGCCACCTATCCCTGGTGCTTCAGATTTGGTCCATCACTTCGTTTTCGCCCGAGGCTCAATCCCGAGCGAAAGTTGCGGGGAAGCCGAGCAATGGATTGGCCCAGTTGAGCGCCCGAAATCCCCAGTGGCCATTTGAGCAGATTCCACCTGGTTACAGATCTTGCAGTAAAGCCTCTGCTCAGCTAATAACCACGTGTGTCAGTGTTGGCCCCAGATTGATAGATCAATAGCTGTTCAAGATTATCCTATGGGACGCCCCCCCCCCCCAATATCCCAATATCCCCAAGTCAATGAAACTGTAGTGTACTCAGTCATCATCACTCATGGTCTTTTGAAATGAGAATGGGCCCAAGGCCTGCTTCATGTGACGCGGAGTCGTGTGTAGCTTGCACATGTCTTGCGGTATTTGGAAGTGCCCCCTTTTGAAGAAGCAGGAAGGTCCTTGGATCATCGCCAGTGCACCGGCGATGTCAAGGTCCTGTGTGATTTTGTTTGTTGCGTTCTGTATGCTTGTGGGAGTGAGCATTTGCCATGCCAAAGCTCCATGCAGGCATCGATGCCACGACTTCCAACTTGAACTCAACCAACCACAACGGGACACATATACTACATCTATTATATAAACGTGTTTTGATCTTTGCAGCATGTGTTTTCCAAACCCGTGTGCAATGCCCCCTCCCCAGACAAATCTGAAAGCCCAAAGGTGCGACATGTCTGGTCTTGGTTCTCTACACTTTCTGTGAAGTTTTAGTCCCCCGACTTTGGGTGCTTCGGAAACGCGTATGTCAGCTCCATGTGTTGCGCATAGCGGGGGTTCATTGTCTTGCTGCAGGCTTGGAGAACGAGACTTGCCACTTGCATAGACCTTGCCAAAGTCACCTCAGGCTCTTCCAGTACATGACCATGCAGGGGAAAAGATCACTTCTCCGAGGGTACGCATGTTCGTGATGTTCTTGGGTTCAGCGCAGTTGCCTTTCTTGGCAACTGCAGGACAAGCTAAACATCGAGTGAGGGGCATGAGCAGGAGCACGAGAACATAGACATTTCTCTTGGGGATGTTAAGTTAGCTTGCTTCAATGACAGCTGTGTCGCAAATGAAGCATGCCAAGACTTTGCCACAGAATGGTCGTGAAAGCATGAGACTGGAGATTGCTACCAAGTGCCAAGACATACAAGTGTTGCTGTGGAGGCTCAGCAAATACTGCAATTTAATCGACCCCTATACCAAGTGCCATCAAACCAGACGTAACTCTGTTTTTACACAAGCAAAAACGCTTCACTGCCAAACCAGGCACCGCAATACTGAATTCTTGCTGAATCGACGGCTGGTTATGTGAAAGCATGCTGATGATTGAGCAATGATTTCGAAACGGTCAGACAGTTGAAACCTGAGGTCGGAAGCTGAGGCAGGGGTGATGCCATGATGCCTGCGCACCTCAAGTTGGATAGTTGAATGGCCTTGTCGAAGCTAGTGCGGTTGGATAGAACACATGGGGCCCATTCGGGATGACCACCACAAATGTTTCAATCAGGCAGCTTCCTTGGCCATATGGGTGTGGCCCTTTCACATGCCTAGTTTTGTTTGCTTGTTCTGCCCGGTTCTTCCCACAAAGTCGATGTATTGCAGTCCTGCCATCCGGCATTCAGAAACAATCAGCGGACGGCTTCCGTCAGAAGGTCGCCCAGCTCCTTGCCGAGCAAGGTAACGTCGCTGGTGCCGAACAAAACGCGACGTTGCCCAATCAGAGACCTGAGCTTTGCACGCAAGATGTTCCGGAACCCGTAACCTCTACTTGCTTCACTGGTGATACTGAATCATGATTGCTAGGGCTGCCTGGGCTGCCTGGCTGGTAAGCTTGGCCAGCCCTTTTTCAAGGTGTGGTATTTACAGTACGGTTTTGCTGCTTTCGCTAAGCTGGGAGCCAAAGCTTTGACGTCCATTCCAGCTTCCTTTTGACAAAAGTCCTTGTAAACTTCCTTGGGATCCCCTGGTGAGGTGATGGGACAGTTTTGCGTGAGTGTGTCTGTTTCTTTGGTTGTTTGTGTTTGTGTTTCTGTTGAGGATTGTTATGAGCTTGGCTTAAAGCAAAGCCTTCGGGAAAACTTTTAGACTCACATAGAAGAGGCCCCTGCACAACTTTACGCCAGGAAAAAGATCCGCTCCTTGCCGCGGTCTTGGCATGATCCTCCAGCATGCTGGGGATGTGTTACTCGGGCCCGAAGGTTGTTGTTTGCCTTTTGGTTTCCCCTTTAAACCAAGCTGAATGGGTACTCTCGAAAGACGAATGCGTTTGGCTGTCGCAAACGTGGCCAAAGGTGTAGGTTGTATGCTAGACAGCGTCGGTGCCCCAAGAAGTGTCGCGAAAAGGGCTGGCGTGAATTCACTATGACAGACTCTGGAGCGGTCGCTCCCAACTCCATCTGAAAACGAGTCGGATGCTTCCAAGGCTGCGATGAAGGGCGCCGGGGTGCTCAACCGCCCGAACAGCTGGTAGTGGATGTGGAACCTGGGCCACTGGGGGGTCAAACCGGGCACCTTTTGGGGCTACTTGGCCGCCTCTGCTTGGTCACAAAGCCGTATGCAAGCCAATTGCCCCCATGTGTAGCCAAACCATCCGGCGGCCAAGTGCCCGCGGTCCAACAATGTTTTTGGCTCAAGTGAAGTGAAA